AGAAGTGCACGGGAACGCAAAAAGCACTATTTCCTGTAAAAACGTCAGTCGGTTTGTTTACATGTCATTTGGACAACATGATTTGGCTGAAATATTACCAACTAATTATTAAAATCTATACGTCTTCAAATATTTCTTGGTTTACTTCAATTTTTTTACAAATATAAGGTTCTTTGCTTACACCGCTTTCTGTTTTTGTTTGCACGTGCAAATCAGCTGATCGTTTGACACTTTTCATGAACTTACAGGAAAAAAACTCCAGACTAAATCCTGTAACTTCTGACTAGTGTTGCCAGAACTTTTTTGACGAACCGGCTAAATTGGCAAATAAAACCGGCTAAAAACGGCTAAAATGTTTCAACTAAATTTCACATGTTTTATTTAAATAAATCACGAGTAAAAAGACTATTTCTTGGAGATAATTTACGAATTCGAGCCTTAAAAAATTTCGCCAGCAAGAATTTGCAATTAGGAAAAACATATGATTGTGGCACATGGTTGGATTTTTCGTCGCCGATAATTTGAATACACAAGTTCGTTAAATTTTAAAATTTACAAACTGGAGCGATTTTAAAATGAACAAGTAAGAAAGTCTAAGTTCGGGCGGAGCCGAACATTAAATACCCGGCGCAAGTATTAAATATATGTTTTTTCACCTTTCCGAAACCTTCCGCTAGATGGTAAGCCGGGGTGTATCAATTTTGAGTAAATTAGCGTCCTTCAATTTCGAAATATTGAAGTTTCAAGCATTTCTGAAATTTACCGTTATATGAGAAGCGGCCGTTATTTTAGTCCGATTTCAATAATTTTCAATACCAACCTACCTTGGATTAACAAAAACCTACATACCAAATTTCGTTGAGATATCTCAATTTTTGCTCGAGTTATCGTGTACACGGACGGACGGACAGACGGACAGACGGACGGACAGACAGACATGGCTTAATCAATTTCTTTTTTCATTCTGATCATTTATGTATACATTTGTCTATATCTATCTCGATTCGTTTTGGCTGTTACAAACAACCGTTATGTGAACAAAATTAATATACCCTTGTGCACAAGTGCACTCGGGTATAAAAATGTAAGTTAATACTTGTTTGCTTAATTAATTTAATTAATTCCAATGATTTGGAAGGTACTCGGCAAAAAAAAGCTGTATTCTTAATCGGAATACAATCTCAACCAGCGTCGATATAGTAAACCCGACAAAGAAATTGAAACGTATGTTGAAGAAAGTTGGACTGACAAGATATATACACGTAGATCCTGTTGTTTGCCCCTCTGAAAGAATTTTAAAAATTCTATACAAATTTCTTTTGTTCGAAATGCAACCGTGGACACTATCTGGCAGAAAAACTTGCAAATTTGCGTTCGTATAGAAAAATGCAAGTTTCTCTACATAAGAGAGAATTTGGGAGCATTTTTTCTTACTATCTGATATTTTGAGTGATAATTCTCGCTGGATTTTCGACGAACAAACCTATTGTCTTCCCTACAAGGCCTTTTCAGACTGGCCGATTCTCAATACACTCAAATAGAAACCAATACACATAAAAAACGCTGTAAAAATTTCCCTTCAATTTTAAGGCAGTAAAATAACGACCTTAAATTAACATCAACCGAGGCCATATGTTGACAATGGATGCAAAACACAGTTACACAAAAGAACTGGTCAGATCTTCCAGAAATCCCTTCAATTCTGATGTAAAATATGATGCCAAAAGACTGCATATCTCCCATTTAGATGACCGGTCATATTACCGGCAGATGTATCGTACGATTCCCAGAGAGTTTTACTTAACATAGAAATTTGTGCTCTTTTATTTTCATTTTGACTCACTTCAGTGTTGGTTCCTTTAATTCAAGTTCGTATTTGGTTTTTGGAATTTAAATAAGTTCTCAGCAAAAAAGTTTGTTTAAAAAAATACATATGTGTACATAGTGCTTGAAAATATCAATTTTTCCCTTACCTTAAACCTTTGGGAGTGGGCAAAAATTATGTTTTGTAATTTAGACAGAATTGAATATGCGCTATCTGGGAAGACAATATCTACATGTAATATTTTTTCTGTTGGCACTATATCCAAACACAAACGCATCTTAAGTGTATTAACAGTGAAACAATTTATTATTTTTTAAGTTTGCGAATAAAACTTCACACTTAAAATTAAGACATTTATAACAAACTTTTTATGAAGAAAATCCCTTCTTCGTTTAAAATAAAAATAAGCGAAATCGGCCCAATTTCATACAACCTGACACGAAAATTTTCTCCACGATAAGGCTTGTATCCATTTCTAACAGATTTTGGGTCGCTTAGTCAAAAATAGAAACATGTATACATATTTGAAATTTAAGAAAACAAGGCAAATAGCAAAATCGGCTAAAAACGGCTAATTCTTTTCTGCAAAACGGCTAACAAATCGGCTGCCGGCTAAATCGAAATTTCTCCGGCTGTTTGTTATCGCAGCCGGCTAAATCTAGCCGGAAAACGACTAAAATGGCAACACTGATCGCACATTTGTATGTGTATATTAACCAATAACATACATATTTTATTTTAGGTTTGTTAAAAACTTTCGAGTCAGCAAGGAAGTATTTGGACACATTTTCAGCGAAGCGAGCATCCATATAAAAGACACCTACCGCAATACTCATTTGCCACCGTAACTGAAACTGTCCACATTTCTACGCTTTCTTGCAACTAGAAGCTATCAAAAGTCGGTGGGTAACGAAAGTGTCTCAGTAATGGGTCAGTCGACAATTGCAAAAGTAAAGCGGAATGCTTGAACATTTTGGAGGAGCATTTTTGCCACTAATAGGTAAGCATGTGCAGGACCGAGGAAAAAGAAAACGACGTGAAAGAGCAACTCTTCAACAAATGTGGAATACCTTGCATAGTTGGCTGTGTGGACGCGACCCACGTGCGTATAAAAGCACCCAATGCAAATTGCAGACATCTTTACTACAATAAAAAGGGGTTTTATAGCATCAATGTAATGGCAGTAAGTACAAAACCCTTATAACCTTTTTAATGCCACTATTTCAATACAATTCTGATTTCAGATATGTGATGACGATATGGTAATAACATTTGTTGACGCAAGACATCCTGGTGCTAACCATGACTCCTTCATTTGGAAAATTTAATTATCCATTTTAGCGGCTCACACGATAGCAAAAACTCTTTCGTTTGAATTTTACACTTTTTTTCTTTATTTGAAGTCGTATTCGTGTCACATTTGTTACGTTTTCGTCACATAACAAATAGCTGTTATCGACTAGTTATCGCCAGGGTAGCGAATTCGTGTTACAAATACATGAACAAACGGCTGTTTGTACGAGACGAACGCTCGTTTAGAGATAGAGAATCAGGCTGTAAGCTAAGCCTAGACTAACTGAACTTTTCATTTCATTTCATTTCATTTCGTTTATTGAGTCTATGATTATATAAACCTTACAGACTAGATTCCAAGTTTAACTTAACTAAAAATGTATAACTAAGAATATAGGGATTCAATCATTGAGCCAAAACGAGATCTCGGGAGTGCAAAATCTAGATCAAGGCTACTAAATATTCGATTGAATTCAATGAGAGCTCTAGCAATGGGATCAAAATAATGGTAATTGGCTTTGATTAGCTTGACATGAAACGGATAGTGAAAGCGTAGTGTTCGTTGCGGAACATTGAAGCTTATCAGCTCAAGTAGCTCCGGGCAATCAATAAGACCAGAAATGATATCGTAAACAAACATCAGCGAATGAATGGATCTTCTCGAACTTTTACCCAAGAGTCAAGATTGATATTACATAAGATTGCGCCAATCGAGCTGAGAGCAATCAGGCGTGACGCCAACAAATACCAGAATGAGAGAGCAAGACGAACTCGACAAGAATAAGAGGAAGCATCGAACAACAGGTAGTATTGCCAAATTTTGAATTTGAAAAAGCACCAAATTTCTATTGGTGTATTTAATGGCCTTTATATGCATAGACAATTTTATTGTTAGGATGCCGAATCAAATTAATAGAAATCAATGTTTCTTGCACGACGGGCGATTTCTTCTGGCATGATTGAAGGTGCTGCCAAATATTTTGTTTTCGCTTTTGATTGTTACTGTGCCATGATTTTGTTTAAATTTTTGTAAAGTTGCTCACCACACCTACGATTGCTTTCAATTTTGCCTTAATATTTTTAAGATTTACAAAATTTGGTTTCCTCAAACTAAAAAAAACACCAAGCACCACACTCAAAAATTTTCGCGTTTTGAATACCCACTAAATTTGATGCGAAAAGCACGAAGCTGGCAACATTGAATGTAAACAAAAGTATTGTGTGACGTCGGCGAATGGGTGGATGCTGTCAAATCGACGAAGAGAGGGTTATCGGTCCGAGAATGGCGCTACCTTCATTTTTTGCATCGTGATTTGTATGTATACATATACTACGTTTATACGCACGTATTATTTGCAAATAACAATTTGCAAAATGGTAAACTTTGCCGTATAAACACTGAGTTAATTTTTTATTTGCAAATAACTAAATCACGAAAATAAGTATTGATTAGTGGTACTATTTGCAAATAAGCGCAAGACGCCGCCATTCTTAGGTTTATTTTCTTTTTCGATGGTCATCTTATTGCCTTTTAATAATCAAGACGTTGCAATTTTTAACTTTATTTTCTTTTTCGATGGTCGATGGCCTTTTTATCAGACAATATTAAAAAAGAATTTTTCACCATCGAATAAACAGTGAGTTAAGTATTTGCAAATTATTTTTATTTGCAAATAGCCAGCACCTTGAAAATAAGTATTCCGACCAAAAATTTACTCGGAATGTAGCTCGGGATATTTCTGAAATTCTTATACAGACTAAAATGTAAAAAAACCAATTTATCTCTAAAACCAGTTACGCTGGGGAACTGAAACTTAGCACTGATGCATATATTGCAAATGCATTGGAAAAGGGGGCGTGGCACCTTCCATACAAACTGAACTTCTCATATAGCTTATCTCTTATCTAACATTCTGAAATTCGACACAGCTACATACATATGTTATCAATACCGGAATTGGAACGACTGGATCGATACACATTTACGTAAAGGCGCAAGTATCATTGGATTGGGAACCATTTTTCCTAGATGTATACATCCCATTGAACTATTGTAACTTTATTTTTAATTTTTAGTAAAATGTAAAATTTATGTGAAAATTTATAAGAATTTTTTTAAATTTTTCTAGGATTGTACGAGTTTCACTATAGACTGTCCTATCAACATACCTATTTGCATAAAATGATAGCCGTTTTCGTTGTTCGGACTAAACTCAAAAACCACTGAATAGAGTTCCGTTGGATTGTCGGAGGTTTTCTTACATACATATATGGGCCTATTACATGCTACTAGAAACATCTCTAGGTGGTGCCGGAGTAGAATTATTTATAAAAATCGTATTTATTAACCGATTTCGTTCAAATTTTAAATGTGAGCCATGTACCTGTATGATGGAAAATTCTTTTGATAAAAATTTACCCGATGAGTGCCGCTGGAGCCGAGGGTGAAATTCATAACACGTATTCATTTTATGGTAAGCAATGGTTTTGCAGAAAATTGACGTAATGGATGGCGCTGCAGCCGAAATGTATAGAAACACCGTGTGGTTGGTCTGCTTTGGCCCTATGTTTAAGTTATACGAATTTAGTTTTCAGATGTCTAAATGAAGGATGGGGTTAATAAACCTAGAAATCAGTTCATAAATATACCCACGAATTGTAAGAGTGGCGAATTAACAAGTGAAGATCGCCGTAGGTATATCAATTGATTCATTTGAAAGATATTCGAGACATCACACGACTTATTTAGCCAATTAGCCGGACAAGTTTTCATCCTGTGAGACAGCAATATTCTTGGCCCTCTTATAACAATGCACTTCTGTGCTCTTGAGTTCCTTATAAGATTTTTTATAGGTATATGAATCGTACCAATGTTATCACAGAAAAAGATTACGCATGCTTGGCGGAGATCTCACAAGTGGAAATAAGGCCGTCGGTAAAGCTCATGACACCGAAAGTGATTGGTATTCCATATGGTATCACAGCGTTACTATTATTGGCCTATGTGTGAGGAGGATACTGCGCTTTAGTGGTTTCAACTTATACTAAAAATTTTGACTTAACAGACTGTTGTTGCTTTTAAACGCTCTTTTGAATTGGCCAACGAAAAAGTTCTTATTAGGCACCGCGAAGCAAGTGGGCATTGGTTAGTATCATAATTGTAATCAATTATACAAGAAAGAAATAAATTAAATATGTTTCTTAATACTCATCAGAAAATATCATCTTCGTCAACGGATTGACAGCAACAGGGAATATTCGGGGCAGATTTACCGGCTTTTGCGCAAATGATAGCTCCGCTGGCTTCGTCATGCCTAGGGATGGCAGCGATTAATCATTTGATTAAATTAATTGATTATTTTTGTCCAATTTAGGATATAATTGTATCGTAGTTTTGTAATTCTTTAATCGATTAATTGAAAAACAATCGTAAAAATGTTTTCAATAAATATTAATATGTACTGTAGCTGCCTAATATTTCAAACAGCCGCAAGAATTGCTAAGTTCAGAGCATACAAAGGTGTAAGTAGCTGTGCATGTAAGCCCATTGTATAGACTACAAAACTTAGTGTGGCAACGTTCAAGACACACTTAGTGCCTTCCAGAACGTCTAGGATTTGCAGGTTTTGCAGGATTTAGTCCAAAATCGTTCCCGTACGCCACGTTCAAATAAGGTTTATTAAAGTTCCTGTAAATCCTGCAAATCGTGAAGCACGGGAACAGGCTAACTCATTTCTTTATCGGTGAACCAGTTGGTCAAATACTATTTAGAAGTTGGTTGTAAATAAGCCGTATATAGGCAGGTTGGTCAACCTTGAGGAAATTAAACTGTTTACCAAAAACTATACGGGCTCTCGAAAAAATACTGTCATGTCTGCTGAGCGCCTTTTTTCAAAAGCTAGTGCTGCAGCCACCGAGAAACGCGACCGCTTAACAGCAAAACGCTTATGAAAACTTTTATTTTTGCAAAAATGGTTAAATAATAGATAATTATCGGCGCTAAAAATAACCGTTTTATTTTATTTAAGGCTAATTTAGCAACTTCAATCTCGCACTTTATTATACTATAATTAATTTTTTTTAGATTCTAATTAAAATGTTTGCAATTTAGGTGAAACCTTGCAGAATATTTTTAAATTTTGTACAAATTTTGATCCAAAACCTGAGATCTACCACATTTTTTTCCAGATTCTACCACACAAATTTATTTTTAAGTCCGATCACTGCTGCACAACTATTCGAATAATACACACATAAAATGGGAAATAAATTTTTTTTGCATAGAAAACATGGATGGGTGTGCGCAATGCGTGATCTGCTATCGCGTTATGAGTCGCAATGTTATATCTTGTTTAAAAAGACATTACAAACTGTGTCATAGTCATTTTGAAAAGGTGAAAGAGTGTGATCGAGCACTGAAGCTGCTAGAATTTAAAGCAGCGTTCTTTATTAAATTTATGGTTGGTGAAAGTAATATACATCAACACGAAAATTATCAGTCTATCAGAAAATGATTCTCTATCAGAAAATGATAGATAATTTCTAAAAAAGCATCTTATTCTGTCGATTTGGCTTTTTATTTAGAATTTCTAGAACAGTTTTAGGTGTGCAGTTTTGTAGCCATTAGAATTTAGTAGCTCAAAGTTCAAATTTCAAGCGCTAAGAAATCGCGTTGATTTTTAATGATTGGCAATTTCTTTTATATGGAAGAAAATGCCTAGCACCGTCAGCAAAAAACAAGGTAAACATTAAATAAACAAAAAATATAAATAGCCAAATTGGCCAAAATGTCACTTAACTTAATCAGCTGACCATAAGTGCTTATAACATATTTATAAATTTATTTATTTGAATCTACCACATTGATCTCGAATGTACCACAATTTTTCATGCTTATTTACCACAAAGAAAACTTCTTGTCCGAACAATCTCAACAGCAACTGATTTGATTTGCTTTGCCGAAATACCAGCGGAGCATCGTCAATTATCGTAAGACGCACGAAGCGATGATAGTGTGGCGAATACTGCGGCAACACAAAGCGAACAACGAGAAATAGGCAGAATGTTCGAGGATGACGTAGAATGTTCCACAAAGAGAAACGTCAAGTTGGATGAACACTGCGAACAGCGAGAGAAAGAGAATGAGCGATAAACTTCAGAACGTTCTAGAGTTGCCATAAGTGCGAGCGCTGGTATATAAGGGCGCCGCCACAGCGAAGTGGGTTAGTTACGAGTTACAAGTCCGCAAGCAACAAGTAAAGTGAGCAGAGAAGTGAGTTGCGAATAAGCAAGGTATAAGTTTAATTGTGTTAACAAGTTTAGTAAAGCGTTGTTATTGCTTTAACAAGTATTTTAAAGTGTTTTTACTGTATTAGCAAGTATTGTAAATTGTTTGTTGTACAATAAAGTTAATTGTACTACAATTTGGTCATCATTAGCATTTATTTAACAATCCAGCGATACGAGCCGGAGGATATTTGGGAAATCCCTCAAGATTTCAAGGATAATCGTAACAATCCCGAAGGATGAACTACTGAAAATGGCGAAAATTCAGGACTTAAAGATTGAGGAGCTGATACAGGAGTTGAAAAAGCGTAATTTGGCCACCTCCGGAAGAAAAGTGGAATTGTTATCCCGGTTGCGGGAGGCTATGGAAGCTGAAGGCATCGACGTGGACAAATACGACTTCCAGGGTAAACCCGACGATGCATCCGCAAAGGACGAACAGAAGGATAAAGCTGCTTGTTCGTCGAAGGATGTGCAGCAGATATCCGGGAAGGTTGAAGAACAGCAAAAGGCTCTTAGTTCATCAACAGCTATAGACATGAATACGTTATTGGCTGCTATGTCACAGATGTCGTCACAGATGTCATCACAGCTGTCGTCACAGATGTAAGCACAGGATACACGCATGTCACAGATGTCATCCCAGATGCAAGCGCTGGAGGCACGTATATCTTCAGAGGTATCAGCGCAGGTGTTATCCCAGTTAGAAACTCAGCTACTGACACAAGAGACACGTATATCATCCTAGCTGGAAGCACAGGATGCAAAAATTACACAAATACAGGACAAAATCGAAGGGAGACAGGAGAAAGTCGAGGCAAAGGTAGAGGAGTTGGAAGGCAGTCTTCGTGATTTACAGTTGAATCGTCCAGCTACTTCGACGAGCGCACCCAAGGTAAAGACTCCATCCTTTGACGGCACTATTCCTTTCCAGGTCTTTAAGCTCCAGTTCGAAAAGACGGCTACAGCAAATCGTTGGAGCATGGAGGATAAATCCGCTGCGCTATTCGTCGCATTGAAAGGACCTGCAGCGGAAATCTTGCAGACTATTCCCGACTGTGCACGGAACAATTACGATGCATTAAAGGGTGCAGTGGAAAGACGTTATGGTAGCGAGCACAGGAGACAGATTAACCAGATGGAGCTGGAGAATCGCTGCCAGAAATCCAACGAGACTCTAC